TGCTTCTTCTGTAAACTTCTTATTTTGACATACAACAATGATGAACGACGGCGAAGAAACGTTGCTACGGACTAAAGTTGTCTTCTGGCCGTTCTCAAATGGGAGGGGGGGGGGATATTACCATGTTCTTAAGCAAAGCAGAATTGTAAATAGGCTGATCTATCAATGTCATGCTCATACTGTGCCGGAACAGCATATTGGGAACTGCTGCTTTTTCTTTCCTCATCCTTACTATCGTCATTTTTCCTCAACTTCTTTCGTATGTTTGTCACTTTCTTGTGAACTGAAATTTCCGGGGTGCCTTTATAGTCGAAGCAGACTTTGTGCTGTTGAGGCTAGATAGGTGAGCAGAGAAAGCCTGATTCTCCTTTTGGACTTCTCTGTTGACATCCGCCCCTTGGCGCTCATATGACCATATTGCAGTTGCGAGCGCTGTAGAACCTTACTTTAAAAAAGTACATAAAATAAAAAAAGAAACGTTGTCCAAACCTCCGCCTCTGCTTGCTGCAGATCCACGCCAATGCCAACAGTAAGACCAGCACAGGGGCAGGGGCAGAGCAACAGTGCTCCCCCCAAGACTGGTCGAGCAGTAGACGTCACAGACTGATTCAGACTTGTCGCGGAGCTCACAGCTTCTGGTTGAAATGTCGTCGCTGGTAGTGGTCCGGCTGTTGCTGATGATGGTTCTGGTATAAGATATGACATGTCGTTGGCTGAATCCCATACAGTTATATCCTCTATCACGGAGGTGAATTCTGGAAGAGGTGTTGGTTGTCCGTGCATCCATGAATCGTCTTCAAAAGTGTATCTGTATGGAGAAGATGGTTCTACTACAGAACCTGTTGGCCCCCACACACCTGTTGGTTCTGTCTCAGGGCTATAAGTGTCGTAAGAAATAGATCCTCCCGGAGGAACGGGTGGCGATGCTGCGGGGTGCGGGAAATACGACCAGTCGAAGAACGTCTCTGTCGAGGGGTAAAGCGAGTCTGTTGCATTCGGGTGTCGGAAGACGAAATTGGGCTCAAGAAATGATGACGTGAAGTTGGTCCAGAATGAAGGCAGCTCAGAGCCGTCCGAGGTAGAGAGAATGGAGGAGAAAAACTCAAATACTGAAAAGTTAGACAGAATCAGGCCTGTCGACGATGTCCTAGGAAATTCTGAGGGATGAAAAGAGGAATGTTCAGTATATTATTATTCACAGTCATGGTACAATTAAGTGCTCAAAATGTGGTAAACTCTTCTCTGCAAGAATCGGTCTCACTGGCCATAGCAGAAGCCACAAATGATATGATTTCTTCAGTTTCTTACTAAGCAATATTCTTCTCTCCAGATACATTATTATTATCATTAGTCACCGTCAGACATTCACGAACAAACAATTTCGTCATGATTATGATTATGATGTAACCTGTACATGCACAATCACATTCACTCACACAGAGATAAGCGCGCACACATGTATAGCCCTAATTAAATTAAGCACGGACACACACACTCACACACACACACACACACACACACACACACACACACACACACACACACACACACATACACACACACATACACTTTTTACTCAAGCACACACCCCATACACACAACGGCGACCTGCAATGCTTGTGTGTAAAAAGACATCTCATACTCTACTGTTTTAGTTTTAGTAGAGGTTTTACGGCGCTCGCAAGTGCATAAGGTCATATAAGCGTCAGAAGATTAGAGGTGTTACAAGAGAGTAACAAACATAAAAAAGAAGAAGGGGAGATAAGGACGATAGATGTTCGAAAGGAAAGAAGGAGCAAACCACACTAGAGCACCCGCCAACCACCCATCCATAATCTACGAATCTTTTCTAAAGATCACAGTGGTAGTTTCTCGGCTTTCTCATAAAACAGAACAACACGATTTTTTCCTCACCACAATAGACCTTATATCGGGTCCAGTTTTGATAGTTATGGCACACAAGAGTTCCAAACGGGGTCTTTGTCCAGCATGTATTCAGCTCCAAGGCCTGTCATGATGTAAAGATTATACATGTAGTATGTTTCAGATTCAGCTATCAAATAATTTGTTTTAGTTATACTATTATATATTT